CGGCAGCTCCGCTGGCTCCGTGCTGCTCTCCTGGTGGCCGGGAGCAGCCGGCTCGGCATCCCCAGGGCCCGGCTCCTCCGCCGGCTCCAGGAACTCGTAGTAGGGCGAGACGGCCAGCTCGCTGTCCTGCAGCTGGTGGGGCTGCTGCAGCACCCGCGCCGCCACTGCCGGGAGAGAGACGTGGTGCAGCCAGGGCCATGCACACCCCCGCTGCGGGCACAGGGATGGGACCCCCAGGATGAGCTGCGGGAGGGGGCAAAGCAAAAAGCGGGGCCCCCCCAGGCCATGCCAGCACGCGGCCGCTCACCTGCGGGCTCCTGGAAGGAGACGATGGCCGCTCGGCCCCCCGGCAGCACCCGCACGGCGCGCACGCGGCCGCCCCCGCTGCGGCGGTTCTCGAAGTAGAGCTCCAGCAGGTCCCGGTGCAGCCCCGGTGCCCGCACCCGCACGCTGTCGGTCTGCGGCAGCCGCTGCACGGCCACCGGGGCCCCCTCCAGCTTACGGCACCGCACCCGCTCCTCCACCGCCGCCAGCGCTGCCGGGGAGGTGGTGGTGACGCCGGGGCCGTGGGGGCACCCGGCACCTCCCCGCCCAGCCCTCCCAGTGCCCACCAGTGCTCCCAGTCACCCGCCGCTGGGAGCAGGGGACACAGCACCCCCGGCACCCCCGGCACCCCCAGCACCGCGGTGCCGTCCCGGTGCCCTCACCGGCATCGTCGAGCGGCTCGTGCAGCCGCAGCAGCGCCCAGTCCCCGGCGCGGCGCAGGCTGTAGGCGCCGGGGGGCCGCTCCAGCACGTGCTCCACGTAGAGCTCCAGCAGCTCGGGGGGGGTCTGGGGGCTGACGCCCCCCAGCAGGAGCCCTGCAGGGTCCCAGGGGGGGGCCGGGCGCACCCGCAGCTCCGCGCCCTGCAGCCGGTGGGGGGCCCGGGCCAGGACGCTCTGGGCGTCTGGGGAGGGAGAGAGACACCGGGGGCTGGGGGCTGGGGGCTGGGGGCAGCGCCCGCGACCCACACCCTGCACAGCCCCGACCGCAAGCTGCTGGTGCGGCTCACCAGTGCTCCCAGTTTGGAACTGGGCCCTCACTGCCCAGCCCAGAGCTCCCAGTTTGGACCAAGGCCCTCTGCACCCCAAACCAATGCTCCCAGTTTGGACCAGCCCCCCAGCCCTGCTCTGCCCCCAGTGCTCCCAGTTTGGAACAAGGCCCTCAGTGCCCAGCCCAGCGCTCCCAGTTTGGACCAGCCCCAAACCCCACTCTGCCCCCAGTGCTCCCAGTTTGGACCGGGGCCCCTTCACACCCCAGCCCAGTGCTCCCAGTTTGGACCAGATGCCCACCGCACTCTGCCCCCAGTGCTCCCAGTTTGCACCGGGGCTCCTTCACACCCCACCCCAGCGCTCCCAGTTTGGACCAGGACTTCCTCGTGTCTCAGACCAGTGCTCCCAGTTTGCACCGGGGCCCCTTCACACTGCACCTCAGCACTCCCAGTTTGGACCTGGACCCCTTCAGACCCCACCCCAGCGCTCCCAGTTTGGACCAGCGCCCCCAGTAGCAGCCCGGCCGCCCCCCTCTCACCTTGGGGGCTCTCGAAGGTGAGGATGAAGAGCGGCCCCAGGCGCTGGCAGCTCCGCACGGGGCCCCCCCCGGAGCGCCGCCGGCTCTCGAAGTAGAGGACGAGGAGATCCTCGTCGGCGTCGGGGGGGGCGCCCCCCACCTCCAGCACCCCCTCGGCCATCCCGCACCACCCTCCCTGGGGGGGCGCTCAGATTGGGGACCCCAACACCCCCACCCCACGGCAGCACAGCCCCGAGGGACCCCAACGCAGAGCCCCCCCCGCAGCCCCCTGGGACCCCCCTGCACCCCTCGGACCCCCCGAACCCCCCTTACACCCCCCGCGTCCCCCCCGCTGCCCGTCCCCCCCGCACCGCTCCGGGCGCGGAACCGAAACCGAAACCGGACGGGGGGGGTGGGCGGGGCTGAGCCCGGAGCCCCGCCCATGGCCACGCCCCCTCCTCGAAGCCCCGCCCCCTCCCCGAGGCCCCGCCCCCCCGGCGCGGAGCGGAGCGGCGCTGCCTGCACGGCGCGGTGAGCGGGGGCGCGCGCGGGAGAGCGGGGGCGCGCGCGGGAAAGGCGGGGGCGCGCGCGGGAAAGCGGGGGCGCGCAGCCCGGGGCTGCGGGCGGGGGGTTCGGGGGGGGCCCCCACGCGTGTCCGCGGCCCCGGGAGGGGGGCGCAGAGCCCGGCCCGGCCCCGCACGGCCCCGCTGCGGCGGCGCTGCGGCGGAGCGGCCCCCCCACGGCGCTGCGGCACCGGCCCCGAGGGCTGCCCCCCCCCCACCCCCGGTCCTAAGGGGACCCCCCCGGCCCGCAGGGTCCCGGCCGCAGCCCCCGGGATTAGCGGCGGCCGGGCCGTAAATAGGCCGCGGGGGGGAATTACGGGCGTTAGGGCAAAGCGGCTTATGGCCGGGCTGCGGGACACCCCCGTGACATGGCCCCCCCCGCGACATGTGGCCCCCCCCGGGACATGCCACCCCCCCCGGGGACATGTTCATCCCGTGACATGTCCGCCTCGTGACATGCCACCCCCCCCCGGGACATGTCACCCCCCATAACATGACCCCCCCCCATAACATGCCCCCCCCATAACGTGCCCCCCCATAACATGCCACCCCCATGACATGCCACCCCCCCGTGACATGTCCCCCCCATGACACGGCACCCCATAACGTGCCACCCCCCGTGACACGCCACCCCCGTGACGTGACACCCCCGCACCGTCCCCGTCCCCCCCCCTTGCACTTTCTGTTCCTGGTCCCCGCAGCAGCGTGGGCAGGCTGCCAGGGTGCGGGGACGCAGCCCCGGGGGGGGGCGGTGGGGACAGTGGGGACAGTGGGGACGCGTCCCCTGTGGGCAGCCTGCCCGGGTGCGGAGATCTGGCCCCATAGCGGGGGGACAGCGGGGACACGTCCCCTGCCCGGTGCCCAGCGGGGTTTTCCCCATCCCAACCCTGCTGTGGGGCTCGGTCTTTGCCCTGTGGGGCAGAGCTGTGCCCTGGCGCTGTGTGGGGTGTGATGTTGGGTGCTATTATGGCCTCCATATGGGGTGGTGTGGGGCTGTGCTGTGGGGCTCTGTAGGGTGCGATGTGGGGTGCTGATGGGGCATGGCTGTGGTGCTGTGTGGGGCTGTGTGGGACCATGTTGGGTGCTATGGGGCCATGTGGGGGGCTGTGGGGCATTAATGGGGCCATGGGGGGCCACTATGGGGCCGTGGGGGGGTCTGTGTGTGGGGCACTACGGGGCCATGTTGGGCTTTATGGGGCTGTAGGGGGGCTGTGGAGTGCTATGGGACTGTGTGGGGCTCTATGGGGCCGTGCTGGGCGCTATGGGGCTGTGTTGGGTGCTATGGGGCTGTGGGGGGGACTGTGTGTGGGGCTGTGGAGTGCTATGGGACTGTGAGGGGTCTGTGGGGACGTGCTGTACTCTATGGGGCCTTGATGAGCTCTATGGGGCTGTGCTGGGCTCTATGGGGCCGTGCTGGGCTCTATGGGGCCGTGCTGGGTGCTGTGGGGCCGTGCTGGTCTCTATAGGGCCATGCTGGTCTCTATGGGGCCGTGCTGGTCTCTGTGGGGCCGTACTGGGCACTATGGGGCCGTGGGGGGCTCTATGGGGCCGTACTGGTCTCTATGGGGCCGTACTGGTCTCTATGGGGCCGTACTGGGCTATGGGGTCGTGCAGACCCCCCCGCAGGCCGCAGCCGCGGCCATCCCGGCCCTGCGGGGGTGGCGCAGGCGCGGGTGGGAGCCAGGCCTGGGCCGAGCCGTGCCTGTGCCGGGGGGGGGCCTGGTGGCGGCCGCGGCCTCCCCGGGCCCAGAACCGGGCCCAGGCCCGGTGTGTGTGGGGGGGCCTCGTCGCCATGGCAACGTCCCCGCCACCGGGCCGCCATCTTGTGCGGCGGGGCCGTTGCTGAGCGGGGCCGTGCCCCCCCCTCTTGTCCTTGTCCCCCCCAGCAGCACGGCGGCCCCGAGCCCCCCCCGGGCGAAGATGTCTCACGAGAAGAGCTTCCTGGTGACGGCCGACGGCTTCCCGGGCCCGCAGCCCCCGGCCCCCGCTCCCTACGGGCAGCCCCCGTACCCCGCCGGGCCCTACCCGCAGCCCCCCTTCGCCCCCGCGCCCTACGGGCAGCCCGGCTTCGCGCCGGGGCCGGGGCCGTACCCCCCCTCGGGGCCGTACCCCCCCGCCGGGCCCTACCCCCCCGCCCCGTACCCCGCTGGGCCCTATCCCCCCGCCGGGCCCTACCCGCAGGGCCCCTACGCGCAGCCGCCCTACGCCCAGCCGCAGCCCATGGTGCCCGGGGACCAGGACTGTGAGTGGGGGGCACGGGGTGGGGGGGCGCGGAGACCCCCGGGGAGGGGGTGGGCGCGGGATGGTGGCACCCGGGCTGTGGGAGGGGGGCACGGCAGGGCTGGGACCCCCGGCACCCCAAGGACAGGAGGGACCCCGGTTTGGTTGGACATGGGGGGAGCAGAGATTGGGCCCCCAGGCTGTGGGAGGGGGGCACATTAGGGCCAGGACCCCCAGCACCCCAAGGACAGGAGGGACCCCCTTTGGTTGGACATGGGGGGAGCAGAGATTGGCCCCCCATAGGCCATGGGAGGGGGGCACAGTAGGACCAGGACCCCCAGCACCCCAAGGACAGGAGGGACCCTGCTTCGGTTGACCATGGGGGGAGCAGAGCTTGGCCCCCCCAGGCCATGGGAGGGGGGCACAGCAGTTTGGGGGGCACCCCAATGAGAAGAGGGACCCCCCCCTTTGGTTGGCCATGGGGGGAGCAGAGATTGGCCCCCCCAGGCCATGGGAGGGGGGCACAGCAGTTTGGGGGCACCCCCAGCACCCCAGAGCGAGGAGGGACCCCCCTGTGGCTGACTGGGGGGGGAGAGGAGCTTAGGTCCCCCAGGCCATGGGGGGGTGGCACAGCAGTTTGGGGGGCACCCCAATGAGAAGAGGGACCCCCCCTTTGGTTGGCCATGGGGGGAGCAGAGATTGCCCCCCCCAGGCTGTGGGAGGGGGGCAGAGTAGGACCAGGACCCCCAGCACCCCAAGGACAGGAGGGACCCCCTTTGGTTGGCCATGGGAGGGGGGCCCAGCACTTTGGGGGGCACCCCCAGCACCCCAGAGCGAGGAGGGACCCCCCTGTGTCTGGCCGTGGGGGGAGAGGAGCTCAGCCCCCCCAGGTCGTGGGAGGGGGGCACAGTAGGACCAGGACCCCCAGCACCCCAAGGAGAGGAGGGACCCCCTTTGGTTGCCCATGGGAGGGGGGCCCAGCACTTTGGGGGGCACCCCAAGGAGAGGAGGGCCCCCCCTTTGCCTGGCCATGGTGGGAGCAGAGCTCAGCCCCCCCGGCCCCCCACCTCTCTGCTCTCCCCCCCCCACCGCCAGGCACGGCGTGGCCGCACCGCGCCCCGTGGGCACCGTGGGGACCGTGGGCACCGCGCATCCGAGTGGGTGAGCGGCCGCCCCGGGGGGCTGGCGGCACCGCGTGCCCCACGCCCCCCCCCCCCCACGGCTCAGCGCCCACCCCCCCTCCCCGCAGCCCCTCTGCACAGCACCTACCACGAGGACGGGCCCCCCTCCTACTACGACAACCAGGACTTCCCCTCGGCGCACTGGGACGACAAAAGCATCCGGCAGGCCTTCATCCGCAAGGTGGGGGGCGCGGGGGGCTGGTGGGGGGCTGGTGGGGGGCTGGTGGGGGGCGCAGGGGGCTGGGGGGGGGCCGTGGCGCCCCGTGGTGGCCCGTGCCGAGCCGTGCTGTCCCCGCAGGTGTTCCTGGTGCTCAGCCTGCAGCTCAGCGTCACCTTCGCCTTCGTGGCCGTCTTCACCTTCGTCAAGGGCGTGAGGGGCTTCGTGCAGCGCAATGTCTGGACCTACTACATCTCCTACGCCGTCTTCTTCATCTCGCTCATCGTGCTCAGCTGCTGCGGGGATTTCCGCCGCAAGCACCCCTGGAACCTGGTGGCGCTGGTGAGAGCCTGCCCAGCCCCACGGCTCGGGAAGTGTGGGGCAGAGAGCAGCTTGTGGGGCTGTGAGAGCATCTTATGGGGCTGAGAGCAGCTTGTGGGGCTGAGAGAGCATCTATGGGGCTGAGAGAGCAGCTTGTGGGGCTGAGAGGATCTTATGGGGCCGAGAGAGCAGCTTATGGGGCTGCGAGAGCAGCTTGTGGGGCTGAGAGAGCATCTTATGGGGCCAAGAGATCAACTTATGGGGCTGAGAGCAGCTTATGGGGCTGAGAGAGCAGCTTGTGGGGCTGAGAGAGCAACTTATGGGGCTGAGAGCAGCTTATGGGGCTGAGAGCAACCCATGGGGCTGAGAGAGCAGCTTATGGGGCTGAGAGAGAGGAGCTCATGGGGCAAGGATCAGCTCATGGGGCTAAGAGAGAGCAGCTCATAGGGCTGTGAGGAGCCTGTGGGGCTCAGAGAGAGGAGCCCATGGGGCAGGGAGCAGCTTATGGGGTAGAGAGAGAGCATCCCATGGGGCAGAGAGGAGCCCATGGGGCAGAGGGGAGCTCATGGGGCAGGGAGCAGCCCATGGGGCCTGGAGCAGCCTGTGGGGCAGGGAGCTGCTTGCTGGTGCCTCGAGGTTTCCCCAGCACCCCGGGAAGCTGCGGGGCCCTGCAGCCTGCCCGCTGCGGGACGGGACCGACCTGGGGGGGGGCTCAACCAGCGTGGTCTGGGCAGCGCGGGGTCTGTGGGGTCAGCAGGGCGCAGGGTCCCACACAGCGCCTTCCCGGGGGGGGCAAGCAACAGGGGGGGCTGTCAGGGCCCGGCTGACGCGTTGTCTGTGCCCCCCCCTCAGTCCATCCTGACCGTCAGCCTGTCCTACATGGTGGGGATGATCGCCAGCTTCTACAACACCGACGCCGTCATCATGGCCGTGGGCATCACGGTCGTCGTCTGCTTCACCGTCGTCATCTTCTCCCTGCAGGTGGGCGCGGGGGGGTGGGTGGGCAGCCCCCGGCTCCCCGTGGGGCTGGGGCTGTGCCGGGGGGGGCTCCTGTCCCCCTGTCCCCCCGTGCTGACCCCGCGCCGCCCCGCAGACCAAGTACGACTTCACCTCGTGCCGGGGCGTGCTGATCATCTGCCTGGTGGTGCTCATCCTCTTCTCCATCCTCTGCATCTTCATCCGCAACCGCATCATGGACATCATCTATGCCTCCCTGGGGGCCCTGCTCTTCACCTGCGTAAGTGCCGGGGGTCTGGGGGAGGTGGGGGGGTGCGGGGGGGCACAACCAGGGGGTGACCCCCTTTTGGGGCGCCGCGCCCCCCCCGTGTCGCGCAGTTCCTGGCGGTGGACACACAGATGATCCTGGGCAACAAGCAGCTGGCGCTGAGCCCCGAGGAGTACGTCTTCGCCGCGCTCAACCTCTACACCGACATCATCAACATCTTCCTCTACATCCTGGCCATCATCGGCAGGGCCAAGGAGTAGCGGCCCCCCCCCCAAACCCCCCCACAGCAAGTAGCCGTGCCCCGCGGCGCCCCCCAAAACCCAGCACGTTCCGTTCGGTGTCCTCATCACCCCCTCATCGCCCCCCCGTTAGAGTTTCTCTGCCCCCTCCCCACCTCCCTGCTCTCGGCCGGGAGCTGCCGGGGGGGCGCAGGGTGCCCGGCACCCATGGGTGGCAGCCTGGGCCCCGTGCCGGGCGCGCCGCCCCCCGTTCAGCCCCCGCTTCCCCCCCCCTGCTGTGAATAAGGCGCCCCCCCCTCGCGTTGAATGGAAATTGGAAGCACTTTTCTCCCCCAGCCCGCGGTGGAGCTCGCCCCCTCCGTCCTCCCTCCCCGCACGCGTGCTCTGCCCTCGCCCCCCTGCCCCTCCCCACGGCCACGCAGGCCTGAGGGGGGGGCTCCTGCACCCCCGGCTCAGGCAGGGCTGCGAGCAGGGTCCCGCCGGGCCAGGAGCGTCCCTGCGGGGCCCCCACCCCCCCGGCACCCCCAGCCCCTTCCCCGCGCGGCCAGAGGCTCCGTCCTCGCCCCGTTGTGTGGCTCCGGTTCTGCCGTTAATAAATCCGTTTAGTTCACCTCTCCGCTCTGGGTGGTCCTTTCCTGACCCCCCCCGGCCCCACCGGCACCCTGGGGCGCAGCCCTGGCCCCCAGCTCCTCCCTCCCCACACCGCTGCCCCCTCCCCACAATTGCTGGGGGCTCGCCCAGCCCTGGGGGGGTCTCCAGGCCCCCAGCCCCGCGTGGTTTCCAGATGTCACCGTGGTGGAGACCCCTGGAGCCAGAGGGTGAGGCCAAGCCCCCCTGAGGTGGGCAGAGGAGCCCCCTCCTCACCCTTAGCCCGCAGCCTGGGGGTGAGGGTGGGCGCAGCCGTGTTTGGGGCGGGGGTCTCGGGGTGTCCCCACCTGGCGGGCAGGGTACCGGTGCCCCCCCCCTCGCCCACACCACGTCCCCCACAGCACACATCCGTTGGGCTCAGCCTCCTCGGCCGCTTTATTCAGCGCTGGCTCCGACCGCTCCGTTCGCCCTCAGTGCAGCCGGTGCCCTCCGGCCCCCCCCGGGCCTTGCAGCCGCAGCAGGGCTGCGCAGCCCCCCGAGCCCGGCCGCACTCGGGGGGCAGCGAGCCCCGGGCCCGGGGGAGCCCCCTGCAGCACCCCGGGGAGCAGGGTCCCCGTGGCTCCGGGGGGCAGGTTTCCAGCGTCCCCCCCCTGCGACAGAACGGGGGCTGCCGGTCGCGCTCAGCCTGCGCGGCGTCGCGCTGCGCCCGCAGCTCGAAGGTCTTGGCGATGAGCTGCACCGTGTTCATGGCACCCAGGCGCTGCTGGGGGGGCGCCCAGGCCACCGGGCCCTCCGGCTCCCCCCCGGGGTCCCTGCCCCGCACCAGGGTCCCCGCTGGCTCCCGGCGCCGGAGGCGGCTCCGCTCCCCGTCCGGCTCCCGGCGCGGCTCCTCCACGCTCCTGCCCTGGCTGCAGCGGGGGGGGCAGCCGCAGCCACGCAGGGCGCTGGTGCCTGGCTCTGCGTGGCTGCAGCTCGGCATCCCGGGGGGGCCCTGCAGGCACAGAGCTGCTGGTGCTGCCGCGTGCCGAGCATCCTGCCCGGCCGCAGCCCACCGTGCACCACAATGCCTACCTGGTTGTCCGCGGGGGGCTCGCAGTGTGGGACCCTCCCCGCCCTGAGCACGGCGGTGGCAGCTCCGTGGCAGCTCCGGGACTCGTGGCCCAGCGTGGTGCAGGCGGTGGTGGTGCGCGTGGCCCAGCCGTGCACGTCCCGCTGCCTCAGCCACGGCACGGGGGGCACGGGGGGCACCGGGGGCCCGGGCAGCCCCCAGCTGCACCCGCACTCCCGGCACGCCGCGGCTCCGCCGTCCCGCTCCCAGGGGCAGGCGCCGCTCAGCACCTCCACGGTGCCGCAGCAGCCGTGCACGGCGTGCCAGGTGGTGCCGCGGCACAGCACCTCGCCGCCCTGCCCGCGGCACCCGTGGCTGTCCCAGGGGGGGCCGTGGCGTGGCTCGGGCCGGGTGCCGTGGCGGGGGGCTGTCCCACCGCCCCCATCCAGCCCCGGCAGCAGCGCCTGGACCGGGATCTCGCCGTGGCCCTGGAAGCGCGCCTTGGCCCGCTGGAAGCGGCGGTTGTGCCGGCGCAGCCTCTCCAGGGAGGCGGTGGGGGCCACGGGGCCCTGCCGGTTGCTCTCCTCGGGGACGTCCTCGCGCACCGGGGACACCTCGGTGGCCGCCGCCGGCACCTGCTTCGTCAGGAACTCCTCCAGCATTTGTGCGGCCAGGCTGGTGGTGATGAAGGAGCGGTCGATGGCGGGGCCCAGCGCCGACGCCGGCTTCGGGCTGAGTGTGCAGGAGGCGGCCAGCATGGTGCCCAGCGCCTCCTCCACGCCTGGCTTCAGGCTGGCGCTGCCGGCGGACGAGGCGGCGTCGGCAGAGCCCACGGAGCCCCCCAGGCTCTCGGCAGAGCGTGCGGATGCGCTGGGGCTGCCGGGGTGCTTGGCGGGGCCAGGGGCAGGGCAGGGGGCTGCCGGTGCAGCCCCCCCGGGGGTCGAGGCAGCAGGAGGGGCTCCCACAGGAGGTGGGTGGCCGCGCATCGGGGTCCGGCACGCCTGCTGCCCGGGCAGTGGCTGCAGCACTTCATGGTGGGCTGGCAATGGGGGGGTCCTCCTGTGGGGTGGGGGGAAGGAGATGGAGAGGGGTCAGCCTCTCTGCACCGGCCTCGAGCGCGGCTGCGATGCGGCACCCGCAGCCACCGCACCGTGCCACACACTGCGCACCCCTGTGTGGCACAAGGGGGCTGCAGGGGCAGCGAGTGTAGCTCCCCCCAGCCATAGCCATAGCCACAGCCATAACCGTAACCACAGCCACAGCCATAACCACAACAATAACCACAGCCATAACCACAGCCACAGCCAAAACCATATCCATAAAGCCATAAACATGACAACAACCAGAACCATAGCCAAAAAAAACATAACCATAACAACCACAACCATAGCCATAGCCCTAACCACAACCACAACCACAACCACAACCCTAACCACAGCCATAGCCATAACCACAGCCATAACCACAGCCATAAAACCACAGCCACGACCCTCCCCACCCTCCCCACACCCCCCCACCAGCCCCCAGCACCCCCGTGCCCCGCGGGTGCTGCCCAGTACCCTCCTCAGCAGGGGCTGTTCGGGCGCCTGCCGGGACCCAGCACCATGGTGCTGGGGGGGTGGGCACGCACCGGGGGGGGGTCCTCTGTGACATCCCCCTCGGAACCATCGCGTGCCCCGGGATGGAGACGCCCCGGCAGCGGCTGGCACCATCCTCCCCTGCCTGACCACCACCTCGAGGGGCTCCCCATGCCCGGCGGGAGCAGCCCCCCGGCCCCCTCACCCATCGGGGGGCCGGGGCAGGGGGCCATGCAGCCGCTGCTCGCCACCCGCCCCTCGCGCGCCGGGCTCTCCGTCTTCGCCTGCTACGACCAGCTGCGGCACGAGATCCAGGCGCTGCTGGCGGAGAACGAGGAGCTGGCTCGCGTGGTCAACCTCATCAGGGAGCACCAGCAGCTGCGGCACGTCCTGCGCGGCCACCCCAGCATCCAGCCCCTGCTCACCTCCACGCCCCGCGACGGCCCCACAGACCTCCCCGGCGGCACCGCAGGTCAGGGGCGGCCGGCACCGCGGCGAGCCGGCTGCTGGGGAGGGGGGACCGGGGCTTAAAACCTGCCCCCCTCCCGCAGCGAGCGCGGCGCGGGACAGGGAGCCGGCACAGAACCAAAGCGCGCCGCTATCACCCATGTGGTTCAACCTGCAGCCGCACGGCACCACGCCTGAGCCGTCCCTCAGCGGCACGGAGATCGGCCCCGCGTTCTTCCCCGTCGCCACCAGGAACAAGTGTAACCGCGGGGCCTGGGGCGCGTGTGGGACCCCCGGCCGGACCCTTCCCACGTGGCACCCCCAGACAGGGCTCCCTGCGCCACCCCCGCCCCGCAGCCCCCGCGCTGTGCCCACCCGTGGGGGCATCCCGCAGCACCCGCAGCCCCGCAGCCCCCAGGTGGAGGCAGCAGCTCCCGGGGTCCCCGTCCCCGTCCCCTCACCCCTCAGGGTGTGCCCCCGCTTGCAGGATGGGGACGGGAGGTGCTGGGGGCGCGGGGCACGGGGCTGGGGGCCGCAGGGACCGCGAGCGCCGTGTCTGTCTCCGCAGCCGTGCCGGTGAACATGTACGCCAACCCCTTCCTTGGGGACCCCTTCCTGCAGTACTCCTGCCCCGTCGAACTGCAGGGCAGCTTCACCCTGTCCCCGGAGCGCCAGCAGCCCCCCGAGCAGCCCCCAGACCCACGGACGTCAGAGCAGAGGAGCCCCAGCGCGCAGAACCTGCAGAGCCCCGGCCCCACGGTGACCCCGATGCCGACGACCCCGATGCCGGTGACCCCGATGCCGGTGACCCCGGTCCCAGTGACCCCAATCCCGGCGACCCCAGTCCCGGTGACCCCAATCCCAGCAATCCCGGTCCCAGCGACCCCAATCCCGGCGACCCCAGTCCCGCCGACCCCAATCCCGGTGACCCCGATCCCGGTGACCCCGATCCCGGTGACCCCGGTGGCCCCGATGCCACCGGAGCCGCTGTCCCCGGAGCAGCAGCAGCAGCCGCTGGACCTGCGGCTCCCCGACGTGCGGCGCAAAGACCCCTCGAGGAAGATGCCCAGAGCCGCCGAGCGCCCGCCCGCCACCCCGCAGACCCCGCAGGGCGCCAGCCACCGAGGTAGGGACGGGGGACGGGGGTCAGAGCGCACTGCACCCCCCCCAGGATCCCCAGTGCCCTGGCTCCTGCCCGCCCCAGTGCTCCCAGTACTGAGCTGGCCCAGCTGTGCGGGTGGGATCACCTCTGGGTGGGATCAGCGGGTGGGGGCTCCCCCTCCTACCCAACGTATCACACCCTACAAGTCCCCTCATCCCCCTCTCCATGGGGAAATCCCATCTGTGGGCAGCCCCAAGCCCCCAGGAGCAGGGAAGGGGGTCCTGGGGTGAGGGGCTGTGGGGGCGGGACAGCCGGGGGCGGTGGTGAGCATGCGCCCCCCCCCAGATGCCCGGCACGCGGAGCGCCTGGTGGGGGAGATCGCCTTCCAGCTGGACCGCCGCATCCTCGCCAACATCTTCCCCGACCGGCCCCGGCTCTACGGCTTCACCGTCACCAACATCCCCGAGAAGATCATGGGGTGGGGGGCATGGGGTGGGGGTGGGGGTGGGGGGGTGGGATGGGGATTGGGGATGGGATGGGATGGATGGGGATGGGATGGGATGGGAGGGGATGGGATGGGGATGGGGATGGGATGGGGGATGGGATGGGATGGGATGGGATGGGGATGGGATGGATGGATGGGATGGGATGGGATGGGAGGGGATGGGATGGGATGGGATGGGATGGGGATGGGGATGGGATGGGATGGGATGGGGATGGGATGGGGATGGGATGGGGATGGGATGGGATGGGATGGGATGGGATGGGATGGGAGGGGATGGATGGGATGGGATGGGAGGGATGGGATGGGATGGGATGGGATGGAGATGGGGGGATGGGTTGGGATGGGATGGGATGGGATGGGGATGGGATGGTGGGATGGGAGGTGGATGGGATGGGATGGGATGGATGGGAGGGGATGGGATGGGTGGATGGGATGGGGGATGGATGGGGGGGATGGGGGGATGGGATGGGATGGGATGGGGGGGGGGGGTGGGATGGGGGTTGGGATGGGATGGGTGGATGGGATGGGGGGGATGGGATGGGATGGGATGGGATGGGATGGATGGGATGGGATGGGATGGGATGGGATGGGATGGGATGATGGGATGGGGATGGGATGGGATGGGATGGGGAGGATGGGATGGATGGATGGGGATGGGATGGGATGGATGGGGATGGGATGGGGATGGGATGGTGGGATGGGATGGGGATGGGATGGGAGGATGGATGGGGGGATTGGATGGGGATGGGATGGGGATGGGGAGGGATGGGATGGGGATGGATGGGTGGGATGGGATGGGTGGGGATGGGGATGGGATGGGATGGGTGGGGGTGGGGGGATGGGTGATGGGATGGGATGGGATGGGATGGGATGGGATGTGGGATGGGGATGGGATGGGGCTGGGGGGATGGGATGGGGATGGGATGGGATGGGATGGGATGGATGGGGGATTGGGATGGGTGGGATGGGATGGGATGGGATGTGGGGATGGGATGGGATGGGGATGGGGATGGGATGGGATGGGCTTGGTGGATGGGATGGGTGGGGGGATGGATGGGATGGGGATGGGATGGGATGGATGGGGATGGGGGTGGGATGTGGGATGGGATGGATGGGGATGGGATGGGGATGGGGATGGGATGGGATGGATGGGATGGGATGGGATGGGGATGGGATGGGATGGGATGGGATGGGATGGGATGGGATGGGAGGGATGGGAGGGATTGGGCTGGGGGCTGGGTGGGTGGGGATGGGCTGGGATGGGCTGATGTGGATGGGTGGGATGGGTGGGATGGGCTGGGATGGGATGGGATGGGATGGGATGGGATGGGACCTGGATGGGATTGGGGATTGGGGATTGGGCATTGGGGATGGTGATGGGATGTTCTCCATGCAGCCCCTGGGTGCTCGGCATCCCATCCCCACACGCGCTGACCCCTCCCACCTCTCTCCCCACAGTCCATTTTCGGCAGCCCCCGGGGCGTTTGACGAGCAGCAGTGCGCGGCCATGGCGCGCCGTTACCTCACCCTCATGACGCGCCTGCGGGCGCTGGGCTACAACCCCGAGGTGCACCCGGCGCTGGCCGAGTCCCTGGTCAACACCTTCGGCATCCTGCGGGAGCTGCCCGAGGGCGACGGCTCCGACGCCCGCGCCGCCCCCAGCCCCGGCCACCTGCGGCGCGTGGTGTCCGAGACGGTGCCGCCGGCGCTGCGTGCGGACGCGCTGGTGCTGCTGGAGTGCCTGCAGGAGCTGGCGCGCGAGGACGGGAAGCCGCTCTTCCTCAGCTGAGCCCCCCCCCAGCAGCCAGTAAAGACCCCCCCCAAAATGCTGGGCACCGGCTGTGGCAGCGATCCATTGGTAACGCCGCGCCGGTGCGCTCACCCTCCCTGGTGCCCTGGTGGGGCCACCACGGCCTGGGGGCACTCAGCTCCCGGACACCCCCGGGGGGGCACGGCCGTGCAATGCCCCCCAGCTTTGTGCACACGCAGCAGGGGGTGTGCGAGGCGTGCGAGGCCGCGTGCGGGGCCCTGGGCACACGCGGGTCCGGGCACTGCTGGCGCACGGAGCAGCCGGCTCTGGGGACGTGGTGCCCCCCCGTGATGTGCGTGACTCAGGGGGGGGGCCTGGATGGCTCCTGCAGTGGTGCACGGCACAGGCAGTCGGCTGGGGGCTGGGGGGCACAGTGTGGGGTGTCAGCAGCGGGACTGTGGCGTGCTGGGGGGGGGAGCAGCCCCTCCCGGAATCCGCTGTCCTTTCACTTTCACTTCTGTAGGGCGCGGTGCCCCCGGGATGTGACATGGGACGGCCACTGTCACCCGTGGGAACGGCGCCTGGGACACCTGTGGCACAATGGACGGGGGGGAGAGGGGACAAGGTGCCTCCCCCACCCCAAAACGTTCCCTGTCCCCCTCTCCTGGGGCCTCCCCCAGCCCCGCGGTCCCCTGGGGCTCCGGTGACAGTGACGTTGACATTGGGCGTGCAAAGCAGTGCCGGGGCGCCAGGGGCCCTGCGCACACGTGGGGGTGCACAGCGTGTGCAGAGCCCCCCAGGAGTCCCCACAGCCCCCCCGAGCCCCCAGCCCCCCCAGCCGTGCCAGGGGACAGGGGCTGCACACGGAGCCGGGCTGGTGGTGACCTTGGGGCTGGGGGCAGCACGTGCCGTGCCCCCCCCCTCGCCGTGCCCCCGCCCTCGCCGTGCCCCCCGCCCTGCCGTGCCCCCAGCCCGGCCGGGGGCGCCGCTGTCACCGTGGGAGCCCTGACCACAGCGGGAAGGGGAAGCAGCGCAGGAAGCAGCAGCTTGGGGTAAACCGCCCAAAACGCGGCACCTGAAGGGGGTGGAGGCTGAACGGCCTGCGGAGAGGTGGGGGCGCCCGAGGGGACGGGAATTGGGATGGGGATGGGGTGGGGGCAGAATTGGGACTGGGATGGGGACGGGGACAGGGACAGGGACAGGGACAGGGACAGGATGGGAATTGGGATGGGGACAGGGAGCGGGATGGGGATGGGGACAGGGACAGGATGGGGACAGGGAAGGACGGGATGATGCAGGGCGAGGCCGTGGGGTCCCTCAGGTTCAGGCGGGAGCCCGGCACCGTGCCAAAAGGCGCCGCAGCCCCAGTGGGGCTCACCCCGGGCTCACCCCGTCGGCCATGATGGGGGGCCCAGGGACAGGGACACGATGGGGGGGGGGCAGGGTGGTGGGGGGCAGGGTGGGGGGGTTCCCACCCATGGGGCAGCGCTGCCCCCCAGCAATCGGCCGTTCCCCTACGTTGGTGGGACCTGGCCCTGCTTCCTGCTGCCCCCCCCTTGTGCGGTGGCTCCGTGGCTGCTGGGGGTGGGGGGACACCTGTGGCCCCCCCAGTCCGGGGCAGCAGGAGGGCGATGGGCAGCCAGGATATGGGGGGGGGGTCCACAGATGGGTGGGATCTACCCCCCCCCATGCAGAGGCAGGCTGCTGCCTGCTGGGGGGTGGGGGGGATTTGGGGGGGTCTCAGGGCCCTGCTCTGCACCTTGCTCTGCCCCCAGGGGACATTGGGGGGGGGGGAGCTTCCCTGCCCAGGGGACAGAACCGCTCACGGTCCCCAAGACGGAAACTGCCCCCCCCGCCCTCCCCGAGCCTTATCTCTCCTTCTTATCAGCGCCGGGCGCCATCGCTCCCGGCAGTGCCCCAGCCCAGGACTCCAGGGGTTACCGCTGCGGGCGTTGGCACCGGGCAAGGTGCAGAGCTGGGGCCGGCCACCGCCACCGCCACCGCCACCGCCTCGCCAGCCCCGGCGCACGGAGGCGGGAGCCGCGGTGCCGGGCAGGGGCCACGGTGCCGGGCGTCCCGGGCCACGCATCCCGGCAGGAATGCGCCCGGCCGGCCGGGGCGGGCGGCAGCGGGTCAGGGCCGAGGCCGGGGGTCATTAACCGGCGGGGCGGCCGGCGCCGAGCGGATGTTTGCGAGCTGCTGAGCTCCCGGCGCGCCGCGGCACGCGCGGGCAGGTGGGGCGGCGATGGCGATGGCCCCCGGCTCCGGAGGTGAGCGCGGGGACGCGGGCGGTGGCGTGGCCCCGGGGGGGGGCACGGGCAGGGAGCCAGGGAGGTGGCTCGGCACCGAGCCGTGCCGCAGGCACCAGGGCACGGCACCGCCAACACCACCGCCCTGGAGTCACCCGGGCGCGGGGCAGAGGCAGCACCGGAGGGGGTCCTGGGGGCAAACGGGGGGTGGACGGGGCAGAGCTGGCAGCACCGTGGGGCCACGCCGGCAGCGCTGCTGGCCCCGAGCCCCCGCGGGCAGGGAGCGCGGGCAGGCCCTGGCCTGAGCAGCCGAGCGTGGCTGAGCCACGTGTCCCCAAGGGATGTGACCCCTGGCCGGGATGGAGGTGGCGCAGGGGGCACTGCTCACGGGGCCGTGTCCATGGCCCAGGGACCCCCACCGTGGTCCCGGTGCTCAGCGGGGGGGCAACGCCGCGTCCTGCACAGCAGGGCAGGGGCCGTGTCCTGCTCACGCTCACGTGCTCGTTACCGCAAATTAACTTCCCTGTGGGAGTCAGGGCTGCCCCGAGCCAGCGCCGTGTCCGGGAAGCGCCGGGACAGGCAGGACCTGGGCTGAGTCAGCCCCTGCCCGTGCCTCTGCCCGTCCTCACGCCCACGGCACCGGGCAGGGCCGCTGGGGCAGGGGTCACGCCCAGCACCCCCCACACCGCAGGGCACGGGGGCGCTCCAGCCCCACACGGGGGGCAGGGTGATGGGAGGCAGCGTGGCCGCGTGCCCCACGGGGGTTTTGGCGAGGCTGGAGGCACCGAGGTGTCCCGGGCTGGGGACGCGGCTGCCCGGTGTGGTCCTGGTGGCTCCGTGTGCCCTGCCTGTGGGATGGGACGGGGATGGAGCAGTGTCCCCGAGTGCCCCGTGCGCTCCCAGGGTAGAGGGCAGGACAGACGGACGGACAGAGGGCAGGACAGATGGATGGATGGATGGACGGACGGACGGAGGGGCTGTCTCACAGCGTGGGGCTGTGGAGTCAGGCAGGAGTCACCGTCCCCAGGCGAGGCGGGCAGGAGGATGCGGGCACGGGACTGGGGCCGCTTCCCGTCCGGGAGCGCGCCCGGGGCACGGCGGTGCCGGGGAACTGGTCGGGCCAGGCCGGCCGGTCCCAGTCCCAGTACTGGTCCCAGTCCCGGTCCTGGCCTGGCTCCCAGCACCCCGCTCAGCTCTGGGTGCCCGGGGTTGGCAGCACGGGGTCGGAGAGGGCCTGGTGGGCAGGTGAGGGCAGGAGGGGCACGGAGCAGCCTGGAGGGGCGCGGGCAGGGTGACGGTGGGGACGCGCTGTGCCCGGGGGGTCCGGGGACACCGCGGCCGGGTGGGACGGAGCCAGGAGCTGCGCTGACACGGTGGGCACGGAACTGCCGGCACTGCAGGGGACAGGGGACACCGCGCCACGGCTGGGGGGAGCCCAGCGGGGGCTGCGAGGGTGGGGGCTTGGGGCTGGGGTCCCCTGGCCATGAAGGGGGGGCCACGCGTGCCTGTGCGTGCTGCCCTGCGTGGCGTCCGTGTGCCACCAGCCCCGGAGCCACCCTGCGTGCCATTGTCCCCTGTGCCCCCCTTGTGCCCCCCCGTGCCCCCCGTGTCACCCCACGCGTGCCACCCCCCGTGCCACCATCCCCGTGCGCCCCCATCCCCCTGTTCCCCTGCAGGCGCCCCCGGCCATGCCCCCCCCCCCCCCGCCCCCCCGAGCTGGGGCAGCCCCGCGTGGGCCGGGGCCGGGCCGGGGGCACGCGGGGACGCGGGGGGGTCCCGCGCGCGGGCCGGGGCGGGCACGGAGCGGGGGGGCGGGCTGGGGGCGGGGGCGGGGCGGGGCCGCCCCCCCCGGAAGTTCCCACGGTGGCGGCGTGGCCGGGGCCGGGGCCGGGGCGGTGCGGGGGGGGTCCCGGACCCGGCCGTGCCCGGTGCAGCCGGAGAGGGGTCCTGGTCCGTACCCGGGGCGGTGGGGGGGGTTTGGGGGGGTCCTGGTCCGTGCCCCGTGCACTGGGGGGGGGGGTCCTGGTACGTGCCGTTACGGGGGGGGTGCCCCGGCGTGGGGGGGTCTTGTTCCATAGAGGTGCGTCGTGGGGGGGGCTCGGTGTGTGCCCGGTGCATCGGAGGGTGGGGGGGTCCCTAGGGTGGGGGGGTCCGTCCGGGGTCCTCGGGGCCGGGAGGTCCTGGGGTCGGGGGATGGGGGGGGGTTTCCCGGTCCTGGGGGGGTCCCGGTCCTGGGGTCCTGCCGCCGGTGTCTGGGCTCGTCTTGCTCCCCCGACCCCCACAGCCCTGACCCCGCTCTCTCCCCCCCCCAGGCCCTGCTGGCGGTGCCGGCCCGGCCCCCCCCCGACAGAGCAGCAGGACGCAGCCGCCTGCCCCGAGACCCCCCTGGTGCCCCCCACCATGGTGCTGCGGGAGTCCCCCTTCCCCAACCGGCCGCTGGCGGCCCTGGACGCGCTGGCTCAGGGGCTGCTGTGCCCCGGCTTCTGGGCCCTCAACCGGCTCCTGGACCTGCAGCCGACGACGGCGCCGCGGGCACGAGGCCGCGGCTGCTGCGGCTGCACGGGCGGGCGCTGGGGGGGTTGGCGTGCGCGGCGCTGCTGCTGCTCTCGCTGCCCCTGACGGCGCTGGGGCTGCTGCTGTGGCTGCCGGTGCAGGCGGCTCGCCGGCCCTTCGCCTACCACCACCACGCCCCACCACGGCACCGGCGTCCTGGGACCTGCGCAGCGCCGCGGCTTCACCTTCGTGAGCGCCAACCTGTGCCTGCTGCCCAGCGGGCTGGCCAAGTTCAGCAACCTGGGCCAGACGCTGGAGCGCGCCGCCTTCGCGCCCAGCAGCTCGTGCCCGAGCCCCCCGGCGCCCACGACAGCCTCATCCCGCGGCCCCGCGGCGAGGCCGGCCCCTGGCACTACGGCAGCGTGGTGGTGGACATGGAGGGGGCCGGGGGGAGCGCGCCGTGGCCAAGCTGCTCCCGGCGGACCGTCCTGGCGCTTCCCGGCGGAGCTCTCCGAGCGCTTCCCGGCGCACGCGGATTTCCTCTGCCTGCAGGAGGTTTACGACGCCGGTGCCGCCGCCCGCCTGCGCCAGCGGCTGGCCAAATCCTTCCCGTACATCGTCTACGACGTGGGGGCCCGGGGGCTGCAGGGCTGCAGGCTGAAGCTTTTTGGCAGCGGGCTCTTCCTGGCCAGCCGCTACCCGCTGCTGGCCGTGCAGTACCACTGCTACCCCAACGGCGCCCGCGAGGACGCCCTGTCCGCCAAGGGGCTGCTCTCCGTGCAGGTGACCGCAGCCCCCTGCCCCGGCACCCCCCTCCCCTTATTACTCCCCCCCCCTGCCAAGAGGGGAGCGGGGGTGGGCGCCGTGCCCCCTGCCCGGCCGCGCGCTGACAGGCTCCGCATCCCCCCAGGTGCTGCTGGGCTGCGCGCAGGGGCAGCGCGTCGTGGGGTACCTCAGCTGCACCCACCTGCAGGCACCCGCACGTGAGTGGGGGACTTGGGGAGGGGGCTCGGGGGGGTGTGGGGGGGCTGGGACAGCCGGTGACGCCGTGGTGTCCCCGCGCAGCCGACGCCGCCATCCGCAGCGAGCAGCTGACGCTGGGGCTGCACTGGGTGCAGCTCTTCCAGGACGCCCACGAGCAGCGCGGGGACATCGTGGCCTTCGACGTCTTCTGCGGGGACCTCAACTTCGACAACTGCTCCCAAGGTGGGGACGGGGGCACGGGCTGGGGGGGGGGGGCTGCGGGGCCGGTGGGGTGGCGGTGACGTGTCCCCTGCTCCCCGCAGGTGACGAGCCCAACCAGAGCCACGAGATCTTCAAGCTGTACCGGGACCCCTGCCGCGTGGGGCCCAAGCAGGACGAGCCATGGGCCATGGGTAGGACCCGACTGTGACCCAGCCGCTGGCTTTGTCCCCGTGTGCCAGCGCTGGTCCCTCGGGCAGGGCCGTGGGGACGCGTCCCCGCTCCCCGTCCTGCTCCGCTGCCCCCCAGGCTGGCCGGGGACGTGGCACGGGGCAGCCCCCGCTGATGGCCCTGCCCGTCCCCGTCCCCATCCCGCAGGCACCCTGCTCGACTACCTGAAGATCTACGAGGAGCCTGTGGCCACCCCCGAGAACATGAAGAGGTGACAGCTGGGGACACGGGGAGAGGGAGGGGGGGGTGGCCCCGGGCACTGCGGGTCCCCAGAAGGTCACCGGTGTCCCCAGGCAGGGCGATGGGGTGGAGGAAGAGGGAAGAGGGACGCCCCTGCCCAAACTGCCCTGGCCAGGGGAGGGGCTCAATCCTAGCCACAGGGCTCCCCCGTGCCCTGCACCCCCATGTCCCCGGTCACCACATCCCCATGCCACATGTCCTGTCACTGCGTCCCCATGCCGCCACATCCTCGTGTGACCGCGTCCCTGCGCCACCACATCCTTGTGTGAGGGCGTCCCCGCATCACCGTGTCCGTGCCACGTGCGCCTGGTTCACCGCATCCCGGTGCCACCTCCCCTGGTGCCACTCGTCCCAGTGCCACCACGTCCCGGTGCCACCATGTCCCGGTGCCACCACTGTCCCGGTGCCACCACGTCCCGTGCCACCATGTCCCCTTGTCTTGCTGGACAAGCAGCAGGCTCTGGAGGTGCTGTGTGCCCGTCCCCTCCTGTGTGGGTCCATGCCCCCCGCCCCATTGCAGGACCCCAGGCCCCCCTGTGACCCCCTGTACCCACCCCCTGGTCCCATCCAACCCCCCCGTGCAGGACCCTGGGGTCTCCCCTGACCCCGCACCCCCCCAGGACTCTGTCTCAGCCCGGGGGCCGGCGGCAGTTCCTGGCGGGCCCCATCCTGTCCAGCGGGCAGCTCGACCCCGAGGCCGGTGACGCCTGGCAGGGGCGGCGCATAGACTACGTGCTGTACCGGCCACGCCGCGACAACCAGCCGCTGCGGGAGGTGAGTGCCGGGGGGGCACGGCTGGGGGGTCCCGCTGGACCCCCCCCAACATCTGCTCCTCTCCCTGCAGGAGGTGGAGAGCTTCTCCTTCATCACCCAGATGGCCTCGCGCTCCGACCACCTCCCCGTGGCGCTGCGCCTCGCCGTGAGCCCCACGGCCCCCTGAGCACTGGGGAGGGGGCACGCAGCCCCAGGGGGGCCCACAGCCTCAGGGGGGGGCAGCCGGAGCCGTGCCCCCCTCCCCGCAGCTGGAGTGCGGCCAGGGGGCTTGCCACGCACAAGGGGGGTGCCGGCACCGACAGGGCTCCAGGACACATCCGTGGGGCTGGGGGCTGCCGGGGGGCAGCGCAGCCCCACGTGTGTGAGCCTGGGCGGGGGGGGGCAGCCACCCCGCCCCTCACACCGTGTATTTTTTTATTATTTGCAGAGGAATAAAAGGGATGTGAGCAGTGGGGCTGTGCATGGAGGGGATGCGGATGGTTGGGGAGGGGGCGCAGAGGGGGTGCGGGGCCAGGCAGGGCCCCCCGGGGGACATGTGCACATTGTGCCCCCCCACTGCCCACCACCCCATTGTGCACCCCCCCAATGCATTGTCCCCACCCCAAGGCCACAACGAACAACCCCTTGGGGGGCTCACCGGGTGGGGGGACCCTCGGTTCCCGGGGGTCTGCTCCATGGGGACGGCTCCGCGGGGACCCCCACCACACGCTGCCACGCTGGGGTGGCCCAAAGGCTGGTTTATTGGAAGGCACTGAGCTGGGGGGGAGCGGGGGGGAGCTGGTGCTGTGGGGCTGAGCCCCGGGGGGCACGGGCAGGGGTCCTGGGGCTGCGTGGGGGCTGGGAGCGGTGAGGCACAAGCGTGGGGGCACGGGGGCGTGTGGAGGGGCACGGGGGGAGAGGTGCCCCACGGCGGGACCCTGAGCCCTGCCCGCAGCGGGGGGACCCTCGGGCCCCCCCTGCCTTGGAGTGGGGGGCAGAGGCCAGGGGACGCCCCTGGGAGTGTGCGGAGCTGGGTCTGGGGGGGCTGCCCCAGGGAGTGTGCGTATGGGGATGGGGGCTGCCCCCCGGGCTGTGCGTACGTGGGGACATGGGCCCCCCTGGGGCTGTGCGTACCTGGTCCTGGGGGGCTGCCCCCCGGGGTGTGCGTGAGTGGGGCTGGGGGCTGCCCCACGGGGTCTGCCTACCTAGGGTGGGGGCTGCCCCGTGGGGCACACGTAGCTGGGCTGGGGCTGCCCCAGAGCCCCCAGCTCGGGGCCTGGGGCCCTCACACGGCCTCCTGCGCCCGCCGGTACTCGAAGAGGCTCCCGCGCTCCGCAAAGCTCTGGGGCGCCGCCGGCTCCGCGCCATCCTCGGCCTCCCCGGCATCCCCGGGGGGCCCAAAGCCACCCCCACCAGGGGTCTGCAGGCAGAAGACGTCCTGCAGAGGGGCGAGGAGGGAGGCGGTCATGGGGAGGGGACATTACAATGGGCACAGGGCCAGGGTGGGGGGCACACGCATCTCACCCCCGGCTGCACCGGCACCGACGTCTTGGCGCCCAGGTTGATGGTTGGCCCGTCGCGGCGCAGCAGCAGGTTGAGTCCCAGGGCGCCGGGGCTGCCTCCTGCCGGACAAGGGGGTGAGTGGGGGTGCCATGGGGCGTGCCATGGGTGTGCCATGGGGTGTGCCATGGGGTGTGCCATGGGGCACGCCGTGGGGCACGCCGTGGGGCGCAGGGCTCACCTTGCAGGCCGTAGGGCTGGATGGCGCGGCGCTCGCTCAGCACCGACAGCACCATGTCCTGGCGGAACAGCAGCTCCCGGCACACGCCGTCACCCCCCCCGGTAGCGCCCGGCGCCCCCCGAGCCGCGGCGCAGCTCGAAGCGCTGCAGGACCACGGGTACCTGGGGGGCGCGCGGTCAGGCGGCGCGGGACCCAGCGCGGCCCCCCCGGCCCTGCACCCACCGCTGCTCCAGGACCTCGGGTCGGTGATGCGCGTGTTGGTCATGTGCGTGTGCACCCCGCTGCGGCCGTGCCAGCGGGGACCGCCCGCGCCCCCCGCCCCCCGCCCGTCTCGTAGTAGCCCACGCGCTCGTTCCCGAAGGTGACGTTGTTCATGCAGCCCTGGGGAGAGGTGCCGCGGGAAGGGGTACGGCCCCCCCCCCACCCCCAGCCGCCGGGTCCGGCCCCGTGTGTCCCCCTCCCCTCCCGGCCCTGCCCTACCTGGGAGGCAGCGCAGACCCCGAAAGCCTTGAAGATGACGTCCACCACCCGCTGCGAGGTCAGCACGTTGCCCCCCACCACCGCGGCCTCAGGTGAGGGGTCCAGGATGGAGCCCTTGGGGATGATGACGCGCACGGGGCCAGGCAGCCCTGGGGGGCAGAGGGGGAAGGGGACGGACACAGCTGGGGGTGAGCACCCAGACCCACGGAGCAGACCCCATAAAGCTCCTGACACGAGAAACAAGTCCCAGGACCCCCTACCCCAATGTCCCTCATCCCCCAATGCTCTGCCCCACTCCTTTGCCAGACCAGGGTCCCAGTGCTCGGGGGTCCCTATGTGACCAGGTATCCCCACACCAGGGTACCTGTGCTCAGGGTCCCTACATGACCGGGTGCCCCCACGCCGGGGTCCCAATGCTTGGGGGTCCCTATGTGACCAGGTGCCCGAACACTGGGGGTCCCAGTGCTTGGGGGTCCCTACGTGACTGGGTGTCCCCACCCAGGGGTCCCGATGCTTGGGGGGGTCCGCACATGACCG